TATGACCAGACGGAGTATGATGAATGAGTAGTTGTGTCAGCTGTACACTTACGTTATGTAGACAACCACAGCCACTATGACCAGACAGAGTATGATCAATAAGTAGTTGTTTCAGCTGTACACTTACCCCTTGCAGATCACCACAGCCTCTATGACCAGACAGAGTATGATGAATGAGTAGTTGTGTCAGCTGTACACTTACACCATGCAGACCACCACAGTCACTGTGACCAGACAGAGTATGATGAATGAGTAGTTGTGTCAGCTGTATACTTATACCATGTAGACCATCACAACAACCCTGACCAGACAGAGTATGATGAATGAGTAGTTGTGACAACTGTAGTCTTACACCATGCAGATCACCACAGTCACTATGACCCGACAGAAGACGATGAATGAGTAGTTGTGTCAACTGCACTCTTACACGATGAAGACCACAACAGCCACTAAGACCAGACAGAGTATGATGAATGAGTAGTTGTGTCAGCTGTACACTTACATTATATAGACCACCACAGCCACTGTGACCAGACAGAGTATGATGAATGAGTAGTTGTGTCAGCGGTTCACTTACACCATGTAGACCACCACAGCCACTATGACCAGACAGAGGATGATGAATCAGTAGTGGTGTCATCTGTACACTTACACCATGCAGACCACCACAGCCACTATGACCAGACAGAGTATGATGAATGAGTAGTTGTGGCAGCTGTACACTTGCACCATGTAGACCACCACAGTCACTGTGACCAGACAGAGTATGATGAATGAGAAGTTTTCTCAGCGGTATACTTACACCATGTAGAAAACTACAGCCACTATGACCAGACAGGGTATGATGAATGAGTAGTTGTGTCAGCTGTATACTTATACCATGCAGACAACCACAGTCACTTTCATCAGACAGAGTATGATGAATGATTAGTTGTTTCAGCTGTACACTTACATTATGTAGACCACCACAGGAACTCTGACCAGACAGAGGATGGTGAATGAGTAGTTGTTTCAGCTGTACACTTACATCATGAAGACTACAACAGCCGCAGTGACTAGACAGAGTATGATGAATGAGTAGTTGTGTGAGCGGTCCACTTACATCATGCAGTCTACCACAGCCAATATGACCAGACAGAGTATGATGAATGAGTAGTTGTGTCAGCTGTACACTTACTCCATGTAGATCACCACAGGAACTCTTACGAGACAGAGTATGAGGAATGAGTAGTTGTGTCAGCTGTACACTTACATTATGTAGACAACCACAGCCACTGAGACCAGACAGAGTATGATGAATTAGTAGTTGTATCAGCTGTACCCTTACACCATGCAGATCACCACAGCCACTATGACCAGACAGAGTATGATCAATGACTAGTTGTGTCAGCTGTACACTTACACCATGTAGATCACCACAGCTACTGTGACCAGACAGAGTATGATGAATGGGCAGTTGTGTCAGCTGTACACTTACACCATGCAGATCACCACAGCCACTATGATCAGAAAGAGGATGATGAATGAGTAGTTGTGTCAGCTGTACACTTACACTATGTAAACCATCACAGCAACTCTGACCAGACAGAGGATGATGAATGAGTAGTTGTATCAGCTGTACACTTACACCATGTAGACTACCACAGTCCCTATGACAAGACAGAGGATGATGAATTAGAAGGTGTGTCAGTTGAACAATTACACCATGTAGACAACCACAGCACTATGACGAGACATAGTATGATGAATGAGTAGTTGTGTCAGCTGTACCCTTACACCATGCAGACCACCACAGTCACTATGACCAGATAGAATATGATGAAAGAGTAGTTGTGTCAACTGTAGTCTGACACCATGCAGACCACCACAGCCACTATGACCAGACAGAGTATGATGAATGAGTAGTTGTGTCAGCTGTACACTTACACCATGCAGACCACCACAGCCACTATGACCAGACAGAGTATGATGAATGAGAAGTTGTGTCAGCTGTACACTTACACCATGAAGACCACAACAGCCACTATGACCAGACAGAGTATGATGAATGAGTAGTTGTGTCAGCTGTACACTTACATTATATAGACCACCACAGCCACTGTGACCAGACAGAGTATGATGAATGAGTAGTTGTGTCAGCGGTTCACTTACACCATGTAGACCACCACAGCCACTATGACCAGACAGAGGATGATGAATCAGTAGTGGTGTCATCTGTACACTTACACCATGCAGACCACCACAGCCACTATGACCAGACAGAGTATGATGAATGAGTAGTTGTGGCAGCTGTACACTTGCACCATGTAGACCACCACAGTCACTGTGACCAGACAGAGTATGATGAATGAGAAGTTTTCTCAGCGGTATACTTACACCATGTAGAAAACTACAGCCACTATGACCAGACAGGGTATGATGAATGAGTAGTTGTGTCAGCTGTACACTTACTCCATGTAGATCACCACAGGAACTCTTACGAGACAGAGTATGAGGAATGAGTAGTTGTGTCAGCTGTACACTTACATTATGTAGACAACCACAGCCACTGAGACCAGACAGAGTATGATGAATTAGTAGTTGTGTCAGCTGTACCCTTACACCATGCAGATCACCACAGCCACTATGACCAGACAGAGTATGATCAATGACTAGTTGTGTCAGCTGTACACTTACACCATGTAGATCACCACAGCTACTGTGACCAGACAGAGTATGATGAATGAGAAGTTGTATCAGCTGTACACTTACACCATGCAGACCACCACAGTCACTATGACCAGATAGAGTATGATGAAAGAGTAGTTGTGTCAACTGTAGTCTTACACCATGCAGACCACCACAGTCACGATGACCAGACAGAGTATGATGAATGAGTAGTTGTGTCAGTTGTACACTTACACCATGTAGATCACCACAGCTACTGTGACCAGACAGAGTATGATGAATGGGCAGTTGTGTCAGCTGTACACTTACACCATGCAGATCACCACAGCCACTATGATCAGAAAGAGGATGATGAATGAGTAGTTGTGTCAGCTGTACACTTACACTATGTAAACCATCACAGCAACTCTGACCAGACAGAGTATGATGAATGAGTAGTTGTATCAGCTGTACACTTACATCATGCAGACTACCACAGTCCCTATGACAAGACAGAGGATGATGAATTAGAAGGTGTGTCAGTTGAACAATTACACCATGTAGACAACCACAGCACTATGACGAGACATAGTATGATGAATGAGTAGTTGTGCCAGCTGTACCCTTACACCATGTAGACCACAACAGTCACTGTGACCAGACAGAGTATGAGGAATGAGTAGTTGTGTCAGCGGTACACTTACACCATGCAGACCACCACAGTCACTATGACCAGATAGAATATGATGAAAGAGTAGTTGTGTCAACTGTAGTCTGACACCATGCAGACCACCACAGCCACTATGACCAGACAGAATATGATGAATGAGTAGTTGTGTCAGCTGTACACTTACACCATGAAGACCACAACAGCCACTATGACCAGACAGAGTATGATGAATGACTAGTTGTGTCAGCTGTACACTTACACCATGTAGACCATCACAGCAACTCTGACCAGACAGAGTACGATGAATGAGTAGTTGTAACAGCTGTACACTTACACTTTGCAGACCACCACAGCCACTATGACCAGACAGAGTATGATGAATGAGTAGTTGTGTCACCTGTACACTTACACTATGTAGACCACCACAGCCACTATGACCAAACAGAGTATGATGAATGAGTAGTTGTGTCAGCTGTACACTTACACCATGCAGACCACCACAGTCACTATGACCAGACAGAGTATGATGAATGAGTAGTTGTTTCAGCGGTACACTTACCCCGTGCAGATCACCACAGCCTCTATGACCAGACAGATTATGATGAATGAGTAGTTGTGTCAGCTGTACACTTACCCCATGCAGATCACCACAGTCACTGTGACCAGACGGAGTATGATGAATGAGTAGTTGTGTCAGCTGTACACTTACGTTATGTAGACAACCACAGCCACTATGACCAGACAGAGTATGATCAATAAGTAGTTGTTTCAGCTGTACACTTACCCCATGCAGAGCACCACAGTCACTGTGACCAGACGGAGTATGATGAATGAGTAGTTGTGTCAGCTGTACACTTACACCATGCAGACCACCACAGTCACTGTGACCAGACAGAGTATGATGAATGAGTAGTTGTGGCAGCTGTACACTTGCACCATGTAGACCACCACAGTCACTGTGACCAGACAGAGTATGATGAATGAGTAGTTGTGTCAGCTGTACACTTACATTATGTAGACAACCACAGCCACTATGACCAGACAGAGTATGATGAATGAGTAGTTGTGTCAGCTGTACACTTACACCATGTAGACCACCACAGCCACTGTGAACAGACGGAGTATGATGAATGAGTAGTTGTGTCAACTGTAGTCTTACACCATGCAGACCACCAGAGTCACTATGACCAGACAGAGTATGATGAATGAGTAGTTGTGTCAGCTGTACACTTACACCATGCAGACCACCACAGCTACTATGACCAGACAGAGTATGATGAAAGAGTAGTTGTGTCAGCTGTACACTTACACCATGCAGTTCACCACAGCCACTATGACCCGACAGAGGACGATGAATGAGTAGTTGTGTCAGCTGTACACTTACACGATGAAGACCACAACAGCCACTAAGACCAGACAGAGTATGATGAATGAGTAGTTGTGTCAGCTGTACACTTACATTATATAGACCACCACAGCCACTATGACCAGACAGAGTATGATGAATGAGTAGTTGTGTCAGCGGTACACTTACACCATGCAGATCACCACAGCCACTATGACCAGACAGAGTATGATGAATGAGTAGTTGCGTCAGCGGTACACTTACACCATGTAAACCACCAAAGCCACTATGACCAGACAGAGTACGATGAATGAGTAGTTGTGTCAGCGGTACACTTACATTATGTAGACCACCACAGCCACCAGACAAAGTATGATGATGATGGCGATTATAGGTATGATGATCACAACAAGATCCGTCTTTGGCTCTGAAGGTGACGCCTCTGTTGTTGGTAACGTTGCATGTGTCGTCACCACTGTACCTTTGAGGAAATAAGAGTAAGGAAATAAATGTATGTATGACACTATATCCGTCACATTTATTTTATTCTGATATTTTTTCGCTATTTCAATTCTCCGTTTTTCTCGCTTGGACAAGTTATTTTAAAACGTAAAAATATAAACTTAAACATGCCAAGAAATAATTGACGTAAAGAAGAATCTCGAAGTAAAAATATATGAGGTGAAGGGCTTTTGGTGCTTGTAGTCATATGTTCTAAAAAAAGAGAGACATAATTCATTTTTACATAGACTACGTATTTCAAGATTTCAAGCATGATCGCTGATTTTTACAATGGGGGTAACTTGGGGTGATTACTGTACTCGAATTGGTTATACAGTCGCAAATTTAACGTTATATCGGCTCCGCGTTAAATTTAATTTACTAATATAACCACCGGTATACGTCCCTAATTCGTCAAACACAGTACAGTTATCCCCAATCTAATTCAACTCTTTTTACGCCGTTTGTTTTTGTTTGTTTTTTGAAAGAAATTCATTATTTAAACCAGGTCAAAGTTCCTCTTGGTCAAAGGTTAATCACATCATTCCTTGAACTTACACAATCACCAGAAAAAGTAGTTCACTTTTCAAACTTAAACACGTTTATTATGTGCACACTGACTAGATCTGAAAATGATGAATAAATCATTGTGTTATAGTTAAAATGGACGGAATTATCATGAAACCGCCCTCTGGTTATCAGAAATGAGCGGGCTGCTGCAAATGACAATGGCCCGCTGATTCCTCAACGACGGGCCATTATCAGGTGTTGTCAAATGATGTCACATCAGGTGACGTCATGCTCTCCATAATGACGTCATAATCTTGTTACATGATCTAACAGTGTTGGGTCAAAATCCCGTTGCGAGTTGTTTGAAATAAACTACAATTAAATTTATGATACGGTTTTGTCTTTTTCAACACAAATTCCATCCATTTTATCGGAATAGGGGAGTTAACATACCTAGGGCTTCTGCAAATGATAATGATCTGGGGCCGGATTCACTAAACTTCTTAGAATTTTCTTAACCCCCTTGATGCCGAGTTTTTTTTCAGGCGCACATTTTCATACCTTTTGAAAAGTGAACATTGTGCGAGAATTGCACTCGCGTGGTCCTGGATCTACGTACGGCTATAAAATTACACAGAAATGTAGAATAGTAAATGTCCAATATCTGAACGACATAAGTGTATATGAATTGGATTTATGTGCTTATGCATAACATTATGCGCTCAACATTAAAAATGACTCGCAATAAATGTCAAAAATGGATTTTCTTCCACGACGTCAAACGACGTCAGAGAGGTCATACGCGTATAATGATAAGGGGCATAACTCCGTTATTATTAAAACTAGGTCAATGTAACTCAGATCACATGGAGAGTATTTGTTGTGGATGCGGACGCTATATTTTCGTTATCTTTTGTTGACGGTGAACCAGCCTATTCCAATTCAAAGTTCCCCAATAAGAGGGGATACGCTTTGGTAGTTACTCAATTTATAAGAAAAGATGACAACGTACTAGATGTGAAAGCACGTAATAGCGATTTGGATGGCCCTATCCGATATATAAGTTAGTTCTTAGATTCACATATTCTCCTGTTTGTGTAGATTTTGACTAATTTTGCATCGTTATTACCAGAGTACTAGCCATATCTTCAAATGTAATGAAATTGCTGAAAATAATACAACATTTTAGTTGACGTCATTGCTTGTTTTGTGCATTTTACGACGTCGGAAAAAGAAGACATCGGTATGCTGATTAGTATATATCTCACTTAATTTCCATTAATTGTATAAAAGGTCTCGGCTTCTTTGTCAGAATTAACACTCTTTAGACAAAACATAAAATGACTGATTTTTCCGTTTAAATAGTGTCAATTAGACAATTTGACTAAGTATCTTTTTGTGAGCAACACGCTCACCTGTTTGGCATTAATTTAACGTAAATGAAAGATAACATTTTAAAACACCTGAATATATTTTTAGGATAAGAATTTTATTTATTTATGATTATGTAGCTAGTTCTCTTCATAAGTATGCAATGGAAGATGCAAACAGATAGCTATATATATGGAACTAGTACGTACTATATGTTAGAATATGGATGTAAGATTTGTCCAAATTAAGACATGACATGCTTTATACATTTTTAAACAATTTTCGTATAAATATAGTTAGAGTTTGATATCCTGTCATCACAATATTTTTAAATCGAATATGAATTGATTATATTATCGAAAACAATGATAGTGAATCATAAAACGTTTCCGACAATCGCGCACCTAGCCAATCAATTTATATCATTGTTTTCTCTATCAAACGACACAAAAATGTGCAGTGAACGAGACAATTCCTTTAAATTTGTGTGCATATACATTATATAACATGGGTGTGAGTTCGAATCCCGGATGGGGCTCAACTCAAAAAGTTCTAGAATTGTACTTTACTAAGAAAGTGTAATCCCAAATATAACACATGTTACATTATATAACATACATAAATCATTTTCATTAAATATTATCAGTTTTACTTATAAGGTTTAATCAAATCGCCGTTCTTTAACCTGTTCATGTGAAACTGCAATATTAGTTCAAATGCATTGAATATTGTACATCATAGGAACTAAGTAATTGCAGTTATGGCTACGTTTGATCTTCTAACTCTTGTGTAAAGGTTTAGAATATGGTGTACTGCACTAAATGCGTCAATTTCTTATGTAAATATTATTCAAACAATCAAAAACTTTCAAAGAATAAAACACCGTAAGCCCTATATGCACGTATGATATGATATTGAACAAGGCTAAATGTAGATACTGAGGTCAGTTTCATGAAAAAGTATCTGAACTATCCGCAAAATGTACATCATAATACTGACAGTGTAATCGGAAGGATTGGGCGATTGTGTTTACTCTTGTTCAACCGACCTTCACCTCAAAGAAATTGCCTAATATGTACAACAATGTTGACGTATGACATCACTACCGATGACCTATTTCTTTCAAAATGGCAGCTTTGCTTACAAGGATAGACAGGATTTTGCGAGGACCCTTCCATTGATTCAGGGATCGTTTGTACATAAATATGACATGTAAGTAATCAGAATGATTCTGACTAACTGTGTATTGTTACATGTTTCTATTGTTTTCACTGTAAGAGAAGAAGCCAGAAATGCTGATAATTACAGTTGTCGTTCTGCGTGATTTTGCGTAAGTCATGGCGTTACGCTGAACGGAAACTCTGACAATTTCTTATGAATTATCAAATCATTGCATTGCATCTATGTATAATTTCCTATTTCTTACTACGATACTCTTTCCATGCATATTTAAAAGGTATTGAGCCATTGCAAGCTATGAATAGACGGATGAATGATGGAAAATTTCAGAAAATGACACGCAGTGTAAAATCGGAATTTGTCTTTGTTTACATTTCGAACCAGCGCAGTCTTTCAAGCACAGCGTTCGTTTTCACACCCAATATGTTTCGTCTCATTTTATCTAGACAGTTGGTATTGGTGACACAGACCAGTTGCAATGTGATTCTAAAATGTCGGGGGAATTCAGTGATACATTTTTCGAAGCTGAATATGAAATATACGTGATGTAATAGGCGTCTCAATACCGGCCTTCGCGAAACGTGATTTTGTCAACATTATCCAATATGGCGGAAAGCGCTCTACGGCGTTCGTGTAAGTGCATTTTCGAAAACATCCCAACCGATTCTAGCTTCATCGGCAACGTTTCAGAATTATAATTAGCGATTTCATGTAAACCTGATATCAGTGATCATGAATATGTTATTTTTGAAATTCAGGGCTCCCAGGAATTTTCCGATTTTCACATTTCAAAACATACAGCAAATAACGCTTTGAATGGCGATTTCGTACTGTGTCAAAAATGGCGACATTTTCGATAAAGCCTATTTTGGAAGGTCATTTTCAGCAATTGAGCTTTGTCTAAAATAACAGTGGATGGTATCAAGAAACAGACAATTTCCCTCAGAATTCGATACTGTGAAGTGTATTTGTGTCCGTGGGATATTTTGATTTTTATTGGACTTGAAATTGAGGGTTGAAGGGGAAGGACATATATGTCCCTGTGACATCCAGGGGGTAAGCATCAAAACTAAGAAAATTCTAAGAAGTTTAGTGAATCCGGCCCCTGGCCCCGGGATCATGAAAAAGTCTAAAGTCTAAAATTTGCTTAGAACAAAAAAATCTTAAGACCGAAACATTTTTCTTACCAAAGATTTTAGATAAGACTGGATCATGAAACTCTCACAGCAAAATCTTAGCTAAGACTAATACTAAGACAATTACCATGGCAATTTTAGAATGATGTAAGCATGTCCGGTCACTCTTAATTAATTGAGGAAAATAGTTTAGTAGCAGGCACCTGCAGAAATGTTCCATACAAGTCAACTGACACTTTTATCCCTGCCCCGGTGAATTTTAGTGTCTTTACGGTTGAGATGTTTTGGAAAATACACCAACACGAACGCCTAAGTGCGCTTTGTGTAATATTGGATAGTCTTTACAAAATTACGTTTCGCGAAGGCCGGTATTGAGACGCCTATTACATCGTGTATATTTCATATTCAGCTGCGACAAATGCATCACTGAATTCCTAATACATTTTAGCATCAAATAAGATATGATCTTTGTCACTAAAACCAAGTGTCCAGGTGATATGAAAGGAAAGATTTTGGATGTGAAAACAAACGCTGTTCGCGAAAGACAGCACGTGTGTAAACAAAGAAACATTCAGACTGTACACTGTGCAGCATTTTCTCAAATTTCAGACACTAATTCGTCTGATGGTAGCATGCATAGGCTCAGTACGTTTAGAACATACATGGAAATAGAAGAGTATAAAAAATAGCAAATTAATAATAGATACAATACAGTAATGTGGTATGTTTATACGAAATTGTCAAACTTTCTGTGCATCGTGATGCCATGACTGACGGTTCTCGCAGAACAACAACGGTAATGATCGGCATATCTGGCTTCTTCGCTTAGTTACAATAAAAACGATAAAACATATAACAGTATACAGATAGTCAGATTCAATCTGATTACTTACATCACACATTTATGTACAAACGATTCCATAATCAAGGGAAAGGTTCTCGCAAAATCCTGTCTACCGTGTCGGCAAAGCCGCCATTTTGTAAGAAAAGCAGCGTTACCCAAATAGTGTAGGGATACATTCAAAAGTTTTGGTGAATCGGTTTTAAAATTGCGACTGTACATGCTGATTATACGGTCGGAAATTTATAGCATTGACCAATCAGAACTCGTGTTACATACTAAGTTGAATTAGAAAATTACTTTACAATGTTTTCACTAATAAAAGCAAAACCGAGTACATGTACGTTAACATTTGGCTGGTGACACAGTCCTGGTGATACTGTAAACACTTCCAGAGATGTGACTATCGTATTCTTATTAAATATCAGTGTGAATTATTCTTTGAAAAGACATAGTTTAGAATAAAATCAAAGTTGGCTGTATGTCTGTCTGTATGTTTGCCTTGATGCAAGAAATTATGCAACTTGTGTTATATGACAATGTATAGTATTGTCCCGTCCGGGATTCGAACCCAACACTCTCAGGCAACTGGTCGCCAGTATCAGAATCAAGTCCTTTAACGAGAAAGGATAATCACAAATATATCATATAATACATTTGACCACTTTCCAAAAGGCATTGTGTATTAACTGTAATGAACATTGGTTTTGTCTTTGAATCATCCACCACTACACCATTCAATAAAATCCGGATATTTTTCCGCGCCTTTTCTTAACTCAGCACGATATGAACAATATCTTGTAAAGATAACATCCGTTCTAACAGTACTGATCACGGAGGCACTGTCCAAGACCCTCGTGATCTTATCCCAGTTGAGAAGATCGATGCTCATTATGTCAACCACTGGGTCAAGTCTCGATTATTAACAAACTGCCGTCATGAGTGCAGCGGTCAACAACACACAAACAAACTAAATGCTCAATTGTAGGAGCTGGCATCAGATTTCATTACTTTCCCACAGGGAAACAGACAAATTGTGATATAGCTGAAATACTGGAGCAGCCTTACTGGCTTAGTAGGGCGCTGGAGTAGACGAATGGTTAAAACGTCCTCTCGTCGCGCTGAAGACCTGGGTTTGATCCCCCAATTGAGTACAATGTGGTACCATTTCTGGTGTCTCCCTCCATGATATTGCTGGATTATTGCCAAATGCGGCGTAGAACCACACTCACCCATTCGCTCGCCTACTTGTAAGAGCAGGCGACTCTTGACTGACTCTGATAACCTGACACTTAAGACAACACATCACCAGAGGAAGCCGTGGTGGCTGAGTGGGCTAGATGGCGGACTGTTCGAGCTGTCGATCACTGCCTAGATTTTCGAAGCCCTCTTAGCGCTAAGATAGTCGTAAGTGCCATACATTAACATTAATTTACGACTATTTTAGCGCTAAGAGAGCTTCGTAAATCTATGCCCTGGTGCCTAACTCTGACAAAGTAGGTTCGAATCGGGGATGCGACTGAACTCAACGAAAATACTAGAATTTGTACTTTTCTGAGAACGTATAATCCCAAATATAAAATGTGATACTTTTGACCACTTTCTAAATGACATTGTGTATTCATAGACTTCGGCAGAGGGAATCCTGCCAATTTACAATTATCAGAGGGGTACACAAATTCCATAGTCTAGACTAATAGTTGTCCGACTTAAATTTTGCGGAAGACGCGAGGCAGAGTGGTTTAAATGGCGGAATTTGTGCGCAGGCGATTCGGTGCCTAAATCTGACAGTGTAGGTTCGAATCAGGAATGGGACTGAATCTAACCAAAGTACTAGAATCTGTGTAATCTTACTTTTAGTCATGTTGCAGAAATCTCCCGTGTAGCTTCCATCACAGCCAAAGGCACAGAGACCATTCTGTTGGTTGCAGATGTTGTTACGGCAGTGGCTGCTACAAGGATGATTGCACTGGTTGCTGTGCCAACCATGCATGCAGCCCTCGGAACACTTCCCAGTGATCTTGTGACAGTGTTGGAGGTTTCTATCTTTGTTGAAAATACAGTGTTCAGGACAAGCTTTGTCGCAGTTTTCACCATACTTCCCCCAGTCACAGTTCGTCTGGCCACACACTTGGGATGCTGAAATATAATCAAAACAGAAATGAATTTAATCTTAGATTAAGTCAACGTTAATCCTGTGAAATACCTGATGTTATAGTTATCGAGTGAGTGAGTGAAAATCTCTTTAAAGTCTCAACGGCAGTATTTCAGCCATACCGTGACTAAGAAAGCATTTTATTAATATGAACGGACTTACACGACAGATATACGTGCCAACAGAGGGCAGTACAATATCTAGAATATCACAGATTTGAATTAAAAACCAGCCCGTAACCGTGTTCAAATCTCACTTTACACATAATCAGTCAGTGAAACATTAGACTGAGTGAGGCAGTAGACATAATCACTGAGTGAAACATTAGACTAAGTGAGCCATTAGACATAACCACTGAGTGAAACATTAGACTGAGTGAGGCATTAGACATAATCACTGAGTGAAACATTAGACTGAGTGAGGCATTAGACATAACCACTGAGGGAAACATTAGACTAAGTGAGCCATTAGACATAACCACTGAGTGAAACATTAGACTGAGTGAGGCATTAGACATAACCACTGAGTGAAACATGTTAGACTGAGTGAGGTATTAGACACAATCACTGAGTGAAACATTAGAATGAGTGAGGCATTAGACATAATCACTGAGTGAAACATTAGACTGAGTGAGGCATTACAAATAATTACTGAGTGAAACATGTTAGACTGAGTGAGACATTAGACATAACCACTTAGTGAAACATTAGACTGAGTGAGGCATTAAACATAACCACTGAGTGAAACATTAGACTGAGTGAGGCATTAGACATAACCACTGAGTGAAACATATTGGACTGAGTGAGGCATTAGACACAATCACTGAGTGAAACATTAGACTCAGTGAGGCATTAGACATGACCACTGAGTGAAACATTAGACTGAGTGAGGCATTAGACATAATCACTGAGTGAAACATTAGACTGAGTGAGGCATTAGACATAACCACTGAGTGAAACATTAGACTGAGTGAGGCAGTAGACATAACCACTGAGTGAAACATTAGACTGAGTGAGGCATTAGACAGAATCATTGAGTGAAACATTAGACTGAGTGAGGCATTAGACATAATCATTGAGTGAAACATAAGACAGAGGAAGGCATTAGACATAACCACTGAGTGAAACATTAGACTTAGTGAGGCATTAGATATAACCACAGAGTGAAACATTAGTCTGAGTGAGGCATTACAAATAATCACTGAGTGAAACATTAGTCTGAGTGAGGCATTACAAATAATCACTAAGTGAAACATTAGACTGAGTGAGACATTACAAATAATCACTGAGTGAAACATTAGACTGAGTGAGGCATTACAAATAATTACTGAGTGAAACATTAGACTGGGTGAGGCATTAGACATAATCACTGAGTGAAACATTAGACTGAGGGAGGCATTAGACGTAACCACTGAGTGAAACATTAGACTTAGTGAGGCATTAGATATAACCACAGAGTGAAACATTAGACTGAGTGAGGCATTAGACATAACCACTGAGTGAAACATTAGTCTGAGTGAGGCATTACAAATAATCACTGAGTGAAACATTAGACTTAGTGAGTCATTAGACATAATCACTGAGTGAAACATTAGACTGAGTGAGGCATTACACAGAATCATTGAGTGAAACATAAGACTGAGTGAGGCATTAGACATAACCACAGAGTGAAACATTAGACTTAGTGAGGCATTAGATATAACCACAGAGTGAAACATTAGACTGAGTGAGGCATTAGACATAACCACTGAGTGAAACATTAGTCTGAGTGAGGCATTAGGCATAATCACTGAGTGAAACATTAGACTGAGTGAGGCATTAGACATAACCACTGAGTGAAACATTAGACTGAGTGAGGCATTAGACATAATGTCTGAGTGAAACATTAGACTGAGTGAGGCATTAGAGAGAATCATTGAGTGAAACATTAGACTGAGTGAGACATTAGACATAATCATTGAGTGAAACATAAGACAGAGTGAGGCATTAGACATAACCACTGAGTGAAACATTAGACTTAGTGACGCATTAGATATAACAACAGAGTGCAACATTAGACTGAGTGAGGCATTAGACATAACCACTGAGTGAAACATATTAGACTGAGTGAGGCATTAGACATAATCACTGAGTGAAACATTAGACTGAGTGAGGCATTAGACATAACCACTGAGTGAAACATTAGTCTCAGTGAGGCATTAGACATAAACTCTGAGTGAAACATTAGTCTGTGTGAGGCATTACAAATAATTACTGAGTGAAACATTAGTCTGAGCGAGGCATTACAAATAATTACTGAGTGAAACATTGGACTGAGTGAAGCATTAGACATAACCACAGAGTGAAACATTAGACTAAGTGAGCCAATAGACATAACCACTGAGTGAAACATTAGACTGAGTGAGGCATTAAACATAACCACTGAGTGAAACATATTAGACTGAGTGAGGCATTAGGCATAACCACTTAGTGAAACATTATGCTGAGTGAGGCATTAGACATAACCACTGAGTGAAACATTAGACTGAGTGAGGCATTAGACACAGTCACTGAGTGAAACATTAGTCTGAGTGAGGCATTACAAATAACCACTTAGTGAAATATGAGACTGAGTGAGGCTTTAGACATGACCACTGAGTGAAACATTAGACTGAGTGAGACATTAGACATAGTCACTGAGTGAAACATTAGTCTGAGTGAGGCATTACAAATAATCATTGAGTGAAACATTAGTCTGAGTGAGGCATTTCAAATAATCACTCAGTGAAACATTAGACTGAGTGAGGCATTACAAATAATCACTGAGTGAAATATGAGACTGAGTGAGGCATTAGACATAACCACTGAGTGAAACATGTTAGACTGAGTGAGACATTAGACACAATCACTGTGTGAAACATTAGACTGAGTGAGGGATCAGACATAATCACTGAGTGAAACATTAGACTGAGTGAGGTATTACAAATAATTACTGAGTGAAACATTAGACTGAGTGAGACATTAGACATAATCACTGAGTGAAACATTAGACTTAGTGAGGCATTAGATATAACCACAGAGTGAAACATTAGTCTGAGTGAGGCATTAGACATAACCACTGAGTGAAACATTAGACTGAGTGAGGCATTAGACATGACCACTGAGTGAAACATTAGACTGAGTGAGACATTAGACATAGTCACTCAGTGAAACATTAGTCTGAGTGAGGCATTACAAATAATCACTGAGTGAAACATTAGACTGAGTGAGACATTACAAATAATGACTGTAGTGAAACATTAGACTGAGTGAGGCATTAGACATAATCACTGATTGAAACATTAGACTGAGTGAGGTATTACAAATAATTACTGAGTGAAACATTAGACTGAGTGAGACATTAGACATAATCACTGAGTGAAACATTAGACTGAGTGAGGCATTAGACATAATCACTGAGTGAAACATTAGACTGAGTGAGGCATTAGACATAACCACTGAGTGAAACATTAGACTGATTGAGGCATTAAACATAACCACTGAGTGAAACATTAGACTGAGTGAGGCATTACAAATAACCACTTAGTGAAACATTAGACTGAGTGAGGCTTTAGACATGACCACTGAGTGAAACATTAGACTGAGTGAGACATTAGACATAGTCACTGAGTGAAACATTAGTCTGAGTGAGGCATTACAAATAATCATTGAGTGAAACATTAGACTGAGTGAGGCATTTCAAATAATCACTCAGTGAAACATTAGACTGAGTGAGGCATTACAAATAATCATTGAGTGAAACATTAATCTGAGTGAGGCATTACAAATAATCACTGAGTGAAACATTAGACTGAGTGAGGCATTAGACATAACCACTGAGTGAAACATGTTAGACTGAGTGAGACATTAGACACAATCACTGTGTGAAACATTAGACTGAGTGAGGCATTAGACATAATCACTGAGTGAAACATTAGACTGAGTGAGGTATTACAAATAATTACTGAGTGAAACATTAGACTGAGTGAGACATTAGACATAATCACTGAGTGAAACATTACACTGAGTGAGGCATTAGACACAATCACTTAGTGAAACATTAGACTGAGTGAGGCATTAGACATAATCACTGAGTGAAACATTAGTCTGAATGAGGCATTACAAATAATAATTGAGTGAAACATTAGTCTGTGTGAGGCATTACAAATAATCACTGAGTGAAACATTAGACTGAGTGCGGCATTACAAATAATCACTGAGTGAAACATTAGTCTGAGCGAGACATTACAAATAATCACTGAGTGAAACATTAGACTGAATGAGGCATTAGACGTAACCACTGAGTGAAACATAAGACTGAGTGAGGCATTAGACATAATCACTGAGTGAAACATTAGTCTGAGCGAGGCATTACAAATAATCGCTGAGTGAAACATTAGACTAAATGAGGCATTAGACATAATCACTGAGTGAAACATTAGACTAAGTGAAGCATTAGTCAATAACACTGAAATTGTTATACATAATCGGACAGTATTGTCAAAACACACACTGAGAATGCATTAAAATTCATTTTTTGGAAATGTAGTAAAAAAGTCGTGATTTTCAGGGATTTTCTTAAATCCCTAGGACTTCCATGGATTTTGTGAAACCGCAGAGTGAATCAGGAATTTTATAAAACCTCTGAAATGTTCAGTAATTTTACAAAATCACTGATTTGACATATTCACTGTTACATATACATAACATAATAGTGGGTGGTTTCAGTGAGTCAAAACTTTTGATGGGAAGTATATATATCCTTATATTTTAGGTTGAAACTTAGAGATAAAAATAATCCTTACGAGGCATAAAAATATTCGTTCTTGTTATTTGTGGTAGACAATCACCTATATACTTGAACGGATATCGTGAGTTATCGACAATTGGAAAACATTTTATCATACTGTAATAATAGGGTGTTCACGATATGTCTGATGTGTTAGATCTGTACTTCGCCACAGGGATGT